AAACTGAAGCTTAGGTACTCACAGGGACCGCATACAAAAAGGGACGAATACACAGATGCAAACAAAACACCGAATTACCATTAAGGAAATTAATTTTAAGAGTCACAGAGCATATTATTCCTGGAAATTGCTTTTATTTAGCAATTATATTAACACCGCAAGAAGGCAGTTGGCACCGAAAACAAACAGTTCAATTTAAAACCCAGGGAAGTGAATTAACTGAAATTTCAGGGCACTCACACCTGAATCCACTCCACTACCTTGAATGCTTAAGAATCCTCAAGCAAAGGCCTAGGTTTTTGTTTGCTGAGGAGGAGAAGAAAGGGGATAAAAGAGTGAGAGAAACTGTTTATTTTTGAAGTTATTTGTATGGTTTTGCAAATCAAAGTTAAACCCTGACAACCAACCAGCAGGGAAAAAAAACTGAAGGAGTCAGTGACAATACTGAGATAATATTTTAATTTTTTTTTAAAGTTTTTTTTTTTTTTCCTGTAAAATGGCTTGTACTTCCACAGGTACAACAGCAAAGAAATTAGTTCAGTCCGTTTCACACGGTGTATAAAAGACCAATTTTACAAATATACCCCGAAGTTTTAACAGCTGCTAACACCGCTTAAAGGTAAACATCACTTCTCCAAGGGACAGGGCTCGCTGTGCGAGCGAGGCTTTTCCTACGGCTGTGTCACAAGGAGCTGCCTTCCCGGGGCTCTCCACGCATTTGATCCAAGAGGAAAGCGATCCCCATCCCTCGTCACCATGTCACAACCAGGAGGGACTTCCCGGTGACTCGGAGACCGGCCTGCCCGCCAGGGAAGTATCAATATGCCCCGTTAAAAGGAAATCTCGACAGCCACCAGTTTCGCCTGTAGTTTGGCTGTCCAAACTCCTATTTTTGTTCCGCTGCCAATAAATGAAAACTCTGATGCACGCAGAAAGCAAAGCTGTGTCGTTACGACCTGCTGAGGCCGACTCCGCTGTGCTTTCAAGACCAAAATGCAAAGACTGCAGTCAATGGGACGCGGCTTGCACAGGGCCGTCAGAACTACTGCGACTTCATCCTAGGAACTCCCCCCCCTCCACCCCAACCCTCAAAAACCAGCCTTACCTTCTAAGTTTTTCCTTTTAATTCACAACGCCAAGTGTGAGGACTTGTGAAGAGTGCTTACAAAAATCAGAATAATGAGAAAACTTGTAAAAGACATTTGCGACTCCAATTTATATTTTCCTTGAAGAGATAAGCAAGCCCGAAGGTACGTTTTTAATTGTTTGTTTTCTTTCCAAGCTATATTTACTTGCCTTACCTGCAACTATATGGATAGATAGAAAATTACAGGAGCCAAGAACTCACAAGAGGCTGAAAACTGAGCAACCAAGGAGGAGGAGGAGGAATCCTTGGCCAGAACGCTGCAGAAGAGCTGGGCTGTCCACACCTATTTGGCTCAAGCGCCGTACAGACTTCTGTTCCTACCTGCTCCGACCAACAGCTCTACCGTCGATTCCACGTCGCATCCGATGCGGCATGTTAACAACGGTCTCGGGGAAAACAAGACTTCACCACCCGTGCCAGAGCATTCCTTTACAGAGAACGGACAAGCACAGCTCATTTCAAAAGCGTATTTGCAGCTCAACTTTAAGCAAGAGTCAAGCCAGGTCAGTTTTCCTACCTAAAAAAGCATTTAAAAGCCTCTGTCAGTTCTCACGATGGGCAGATCAGTACCAACAGTTCTCTGACCCCAGAAAAGTGTCAAGACTATGAGCTGGATGAACAGAAACATGACGGTCTCGGAGAAGCTTCCTTCTACTTCCAGAAGACTGAAAAAATGGTGAGCAAAGCGATCAGCTGCTGCAGCAGCACTAAAGGGGGAGTTACCACAGTTGAAACCAACAGCTTGTTTTGGATGGTGTGTGGAGTTAAAAAATAAGTAAGTTCTGCTCAGAGATGATTGCAGTTTCTCGCTACGATAGACTCAGCACCCCCACTCCCCGGTCGGATGCTCAAGCACAGCCCTCAAATTCCAGGAATTGCCATTAAACCACCAAAGTGTTTCGTGGGGAAGATCACAGCCTTTCCATTTCATCCCGGAGCTTCCTAACAAACCGAGGAGAACCTTTCAGAGCACGAACCAGGTCTGAAAGTGGGAACAGCTACAATCACGTTTCTGAGGGGTTCCTGGCATGCCTTTGCTTCAAGGTGGCTCTGTCCCTACTGGAACCAGCCCGACAGTCGCTTTCGTCTTTTCTGAACCCCATTCCCACCCTCACAAAGAAAAAAAATTCCTTAATTACTCTGCCAGTACAGTACTATTACTGTACTCTGAGGCACAAAGTGACCACACTTGAACAAAACTCGTGATTAAAATGCAGTATCGTGCTAATTCTTTTGCACAACTTGGACCACGATTCAAAATAAGAGCAACGCTTACCAGTCATCTATTTAGAGTTCAGCACTCTATCAAGAAGCTGCCAGAAAAAAGGAAACTGTTACAGCTCCAGTGTGCATGGATATGACAGACTTTTTTTTTTTTTTAAGATCAGACTAGAAAAATACTTTTAGCTATAAGTTATGCAGTCAAAGCTGGTTTTGAAGCATTCACAAATAGAATCAACGGTAACAGGTGAAAAAAATCCTTACAGAACACATTGCCAGCATGTGAAATGGTATGCAAGAAATATCATAACACGGAAATAATGAAATCACTTTCAAAACACAAGTTTGAGGGTGGTTCTCAAGTTTACTCACTCCAAACAGAACCGGTCTTATTTATCCAGAAACAACTTTCTCCTATGGAGTGACCAGACCAGTGAAGGTGTGTGTTTACTGAGGAGAGAAGGGATAAGCAGCCCAACAGTCCATCGTTTGATCGGAGCAGCGTATGCGGCAGTAGCGTTTGAGAAAAATAATGCTACAAACATTTCTGCCTTCCCAGTAAATCCAGCTCTGCGGGACTCGCCCTAGATTTGAATACTGGTTAGTGGCAAAGTACCTGGATTCACGCAAAGGAACTGTGGAAGTTTGTTTCCCAGATAAGAGGAGAGTTTTCCTTCCTGCAGTAGTTCTTGTATTATTCAGAATTGCTGAAAGAAACAAAAATCTTGCTCAAAACACAGTCTTTTCAAACAGACACTTCCCTCGGATACAAACCATTAGCCAGTCTTCCTCTTCACGCAAGCCAAACACACCACAACCAGATGGTGTGCTGGTGTCTCCAGTGAGGATTCCTCTACATTCACTTTGCACGGGGGGTAGCTATACGAAGCCCCGAAGCAGCCATTAAACTGCAACAGCAAAGGAAGAAAGTAAAGCAGCTCGATAGCGGAGAAGCCTGGGAACCTGCGTGTTTACAACCCGTTTACGCTCAGAGGGAGACTACACATGCAAGTCCCGATCGGCTCAGCTCTGCACGACGCTTGCCACCCCAGACCTGCGAAGCTGTCGTACACGGAATCGACCTCTGGCCACCAGCGTTAACACAGGGCTCGTGGCCTTAATTCAACAAGGAACGGTTCCTGAAAAGCGTGTTCTCATAGCATCTCTTGTGAGAAACAAAGCTGAGTATTTCACAGAGTCCAATAAGAACGAGGTGGAGGTGAGACTGCCTCTCGCAGATGAGGTATATGCTAAATAGAAATAATGCTGCAGTATGCATATGGGACCTGAGGAACTTGTACTGAATAGAAACAAGGAAGAGGCACCTTCACGTTTATGACAGAAACCACGAGAAGGAATTGAAGGCCGAAGGTGTTCCTCCCCAATCTGGTTGGGCTGCCATTCTTGATGAAGATTAGCCACAAGGTTGTCTTGTGGGAGTAAGGACTCGGAATACGGAATCACAAGAGGATCTCATTGAAAAGGCACTAGGAAGAAGCATACAGTTTCAGGTTAACAAGATTCATCCTATTTCCGACCACTGAGTGGGACAAAAACTGTACAGTTTGGGATTTTTAGAGAAAATGCTGCAGGAAAAAAAAAAAAAAAAAGAATTTTAACAGCATAAGCGTAAAAAGAAAAGTAAAGCTATTTTCAAATTATTAAAATGCTGAACATTTATACAGCAAAATTATATTAAAAACAGCAGCAGACAAAGTACGTCCCATCACCATTGGCAAGGGACATGTAAAATGTTTATAAGGTTAACTATAAAACAATTTTACAACCAAAATATGAACAGGCCAATTCAAGTATATATATACAGCATATATTAAAATCATATAAATTATATATTTATACAAAGGGCACAAATATAGCCAAAAGCTATAGTTGATTAAACAAACTGAGCTTGAATGATCAATTTCATCTAGAGATGTTATAATTTTCTCCCAAATTCTTTTTTTTTTTTTTTTTTTAAACCTGGATAGATTGATACCTCAGATACCAAGAGTACAGAAAGCAAAAGGGAAAAAAAAAAACCAAAACGACACAAATCAAAGAGTTACCGTTCTGTATGAAATGAAGCTAACAGTGGGTGGGGTACATCTCATGAAATTCTGATTTAATTATTTCCATAGTAAACATTTATCAGATCTCTTAAAAAGTCAGGAATTTCAAGTGATCCACTTCAGATGTACCACCCTGGTGCATATATTTGATTACATTTGAATGTTGTTTGATTTGCAAACATTTGAAAAAAAATGCATACAAACACATCTCAATCTGCAAAAAAAGGTGACAGATGGCAGCAAGTTGAAAACTGAACAAAAATACTCGGCTGAACTAGAAACGATGCTCTCCTTACAGCATTTTGGCTAGTAAGTGAGCTTAAAAAAATAACTTATTTTTAATTGCTTTTTTATTTCAAAACATAACAGCATATAACCACAATCCATTGAAGCACTTGAGAATCTAAACAGTCCCATCCATGGGCTTATATTTAAACACACACTAAGTGCTTTCCTGAATTCAGGTCTATGTAAGTAAGTTCTGTGTAAGTTGTACCTAAACCTTCTGTCTTGCTGCGGCACTACCCCTTCATTAATGCAGGTTTTAAAGGCTCGCTACCTCTCAATTAACCCAATGGTCCTGGGCATGCAAGGAGCAGTTAGGGCAAGCTAAGTTAAGCAGAAATAAAAAGGCCAGACTACACATATACAGAACATTGGCTTAAAAACCAGAACGAAGTATGTAAAAAAGTAAAGCAGTTTCACCAGATGCAGGTTAAACGGAGGGAGGAAAAAAGAAAAGAAAAAAAAAGAATCAGCCATATACCATACATAATGAGCAGTGGATATCTATTACACTGAAAGGAAATCAATGCAAACAGGATTTCCTCAGTTTCAAGTAATCCTTGATGCCTTTTTGGCCAGCTGTGTTTTATCATAATAGATATTTTAATAGCTTTTATACTCTACAATTTAGGCAGCTAATTTTTCTCTTACATATCCAATTATCTCTAGTGAACATTCACCTATGGCTGTCCACACATTCTGTATTAGCTCCTTGAGAAACTATTCAAGTTAAATTATATTGCAAATTAAAGACAGTTACATTCTGTATGTTCCTTCTAGATTTGAAAAATAGGTTTTAAAGGCTTGTCAAAGTTTTGAAGAAAAAAAACCTTTCCATTAAAAAAATCTTAGCTTAAAAAAAACCATTAAGACACCTTTTTCTGATCCAGGGTACTAATAAAAAGATTACAAATATACTACAATTTGACCAAGAAGACTTCATGAATATGCTGCTTTTGAGCATGCAACACCACTGATATCTGTCGAGTTCCAGGTATCAATGTATCCCAATTCCACCACAGTCCCTCACAATTTCCTTGTCAGTTCCCCATCCCCACCCTACCACCCTATTAATAACATTATAAAAAAAGGTAAAATCTAGAGTTAGTGGCAAAATCTTCACAGTAAATTGTTAAAGAAAATGTTATTGTGGTCATTGCAAGGTGATATCAGTCAATTGGACCCTGAAAAATTAGCTTGATGCAGTTGTGTTCCCCAGACAGTTGTGTTGCGCAAAAAGGGCAGGCAGCATGAAATGCATGAGTACCATGAGGCAGTGGGATTTGAGACCAGTATTTTGCAGATTTCTCAGAGCACACATGTCCACAAGGGGTGAAAGCATGAGTTGGAGGACCAGCATCCACATAAAAGCCTGCTTCACAACCAAGCCAAAGAGGCACATAGGGGCCAATGGTTCTGCACATAGGACATTCCCGCTCATTGGCTTCTGTGTCACTGCGATGTCCCCAGTTGTGATAGCCATGAACATGACCGCAGCTGAGGTATGCCCAAGGCTGCTTCTCTTCTACCACATCTTTACGGTTGATGCTGGGAAATGCTAAAGTGTTTAACCCGACAGGACACTGTGGTCTGGCAGCGTTTATCTCCTGTCGCAGAGCTTCAATGTGTTTCTGAGTTGGAGTGTGAAACAGTCCATCTGCCGTTCTCCACAGAAGGGTGGCTCCACACAGGTCAATGAGAGAGCCATCTTGCAGGACGTTGGTCTCATTTTCTACCTAGTGGGAGAACACAAGGATAACTAGTTAAGCCTGAGAGTTTTTACAGACAACTGAGTTAGTTCTGTAAACATGTCATCTTTCTCGCCAAATTGTTACCCTCCCTTAGCATGCTACGTAATTTTGTCTTATTGTTTCCTTCTGGCCCCCCATTTGTCTGGATCCATCTCTTGTCTTTTATCTCATATTTAAGATTATAATGAACATTGGTCTTTTATTGTTGAAACATTATTAGTCTCTTATTATTGAAACACTGGAACAGGTTGCCTGGAGAGGTGGGAGATGCTCCATCCCTGGACACATTCAAGGCCAGGCTGGACGGGGCTCTGAGCAGCCTGGTCTGAAGATGTCCCTGCCAATTGCAGGGGGTTGGACTAGATGACCTTTAGAGGTCCCTTCCAACCCAAACCATTCTGTGATTCTGTGCTTGTACAGCAGGTCCAAAATTTGCAACTGTTACACGCTATGGCAATAGTAATTAATTATTATACACAGTCTTCCTGCCTGTAATTCTTTGGGAAAGGTATTACATTAGTAACCACTAACTTCTTCACTGTCCTGGTTTCAGCTGGGACAGAGTTAATTTTCTTCCTAGTAGCTGCTATAGTGCTGTGGTTTGGATTTAGGATGAGAATAATGTTGATAACACACCGATGGTTCAGTTGTTGCTCAGTAGTACTTATACTGGTCAAGGACTTTTCAGCTTCCCCTGCTCTGCCAGGTGCCCAAGAAGCTGGGAGGGGGCACAGCCAGGACAGCTGGCCCAGCCTGGCCAAGGGGCTATTCCATACCACATAATATCATGCCCAGTATAGAAACTGGGGGAGTTGGCCAGGGGGCAGGGATCACTGCTCAGGGACAGGCTGGGCATCAGTCAGTGGGTGGTGAGCAATTGCATTATGCATCACTTGTTTTGTATATTCTTTTATTATTACCACTACTACTACTATTTCCTCTTCCTCTGCTGTCCTATTAAGCTGTCTATCTCAATTTTGAGTTTTACTTTTCCCCCCCTGATTCTCTCCCCCATCCCACTGGGGCGGGGAGGGTGAGCGAGCAGCTGTGTGGTGCTTGGTTGCCCACTGGGGTTAGACCACAACATTCACAAACACCCCCTACCTCTGAGCATGCAATTTTTTCCTCTCTAACAGCGAGTCTCTGTATGCCTTTGTCATGTTTAAGGAAAGTCATGGCAGACTGAAGAGGAAGCTTGCCATTCCCCAGGGGCTGTATCAGCAGATTGCTCCCCTGGAATTCTTTGCCCACGTAGACTGGCAGAGGCTGCTCACGCAGCAAAAGATCCTTTTTGGACTAAAAACTGCTACCCAGGACAGACCAGCTGTCCCGCCACTCAGGTACCACTGTTTTTTTGGCTTGTGGCAAGCGTAAAGCATTTTGCAGAAGCATGAACTCCCACAGCGTACCTCATCAACAGGGGAACTCTTCCACAGATGCATTAGGGCTAAATGACAAATGCCATACTAGCTACACGCACAGGTTCTTGCAGAGATTATCCTTACAGCAGAGCAAATTACCAGTTGCATTTCTCAAGTCACAAGTTCTGCAACTGAAGCCACACGGGCTCAACGTCTGAACAATTAACCACCCCAACTCGTTAGGCTCTTTATTTAATGAGGTATTCCACGCATATACAGCCCCAACGTGCACTGCCTAAAGGCTTCTCTCATCTGACTAAAAGCAGATACTTATAACATTTTCAAGGGATTATGCCAAACATGTTGTACTTTGAAATATTCTTTAATTTATTTTAATGGCACAAACATATAAGCAACTTGTGCTATTGCTACCAGTTTGGTAGTGATGAATATATATTAAAAAGGTTCTTCATGAAATTAAAGAGGAAAAACAAACCTATTGCCTGGCTTTATACATAGAAAGTGTGTAGAGAATACCACTAGGGCAAAACAAATACCCTGAACATTAAGTAGGTCACATGAAATCATCATGTCTGCCTAAGAATACTATGACTGACAACCAATTTGGCATTTACATTTTAATCCAGGTTAAATTCACAAATTAACTGTGGATCATCCTTGCACAAAACACCTAGATGGTACAATACAGACTACAGATAAAAGGTAACCAGTGTAAAGTACTTCCAGCAGAAAAATTCAGCGTTTCAAGTAGAGACGAGAGAAGCCCTGATTTGATGCACTTTTCAGATAGTTCCTTCACAAACAGCAAACACTTTCTCGTATGCAGTGTTCAATTCATTATACAGTGTGCATTTGGTTTTATGAACCCAATCAACGAATACTGATCACATCAATACCAGTGTGCCATGTAATTTTATTTAAATGAGAATTCAAGTCATTTTGGATGCAGAGAAGGGAATTTATTTGTTTTAGTATTGCCTTTCTTTAGCAGCACTAAAAAGGTGCTTTGCTAACCACGTACAAAGGGCGCAATTGCAACATCGTCTGTCCCAGTCCCCGAGGCGATGTTTGCCTGCCACCATTAAAGTGACAAAGCAATTTACGTACTGCAGGCTGTCTACGGAAAGCAGAACAAAATATTCAAACTCCGTTTTCCTAACGCCTTTAAGCAGTCAGCATTCTGCAAAGCCAATGGCAAAGCTGGAGTCAGTTCAGTGCAAGTATATGGGACGCCTCTCTAACACCATCAAGCTAATGGGAACTAAGGTAGGAGCAGAAAAGCAACCTTGGCATCAAGAGAAGGATGTTCCCCCCCCTTTCTCTGTCTTTAAACTCGAGCGGCTGGGTGATAAAGTTACAAAAGAGATGGGGCATCTTCAGTGTCAGTGAAGATGCCCCTTGAACATCCTCTCACTCCCTGAATCCTAACAAAGAGCAGGAGGAGTGAACCATGGAGGCTTTTCCAGGTCTGCAGACAGCACAGCATTCTAACCTACCCAGAGACAAAGAGGACTTCTGGGAAAGCTCATCTGCTTGAGTGAGAATACGGCTGGCTGTCCTTCACTGGGCTACTTCTACATGTTGTTGTTTGACTTTTCTTTTTTTCCTTGAGGGCAGGGGGATGAAGGAAGAGTGATGATAGCACTCTCCCTCCTAGGCTCCACAGACCTTGGGAAGGGGAAAGAACAAGAGAGCTATGGGAATTCCCTTTCATCTTCTATGGAGAAGAGGACATGTTCTTTCACAGGAAGCTCCCTCCTGGTTATGTATGCCACCGGTCCCTGGGGCAGCTGACATCTCTCACTTTTGGCAAAGGCAAAGCCCATCCTGCTTCACAGGATAAAACAGGAGTATACTTAGCAGTATATTCTCTTCTAGCAGGGCTTCTCTTATCTTAGCAGCAGGTAAATCAAACAGAAGCTGCGTTATCCAAACTTGTTTTGCATGCACGTGGGCTCTTCCTTTTAAGATAGTACTGCAAAAGACAGCTCCCCATGCAGTAACTTCCAGATGTCCCCATGTCCCAGGAGAACCATTTCAGAGGTGGAGATTCAAGAGCAATGTTTATTTAGCTTTTACACTCTATGCTATTTGAGTTGGAAAAGCAACATTAGCAGAAAACTTAAAGAGCGTTCTCCTGTATAAGCAGAAACAGCACAGCAGTACAGAATCTACTGTAATGCACATCTACTTGCACGATTTCAGTGTCCACTACCCAGGGACAACGCTATTACTCTGCAGGCGCCCTGTGACTGCCTCCATTCAATGCCAGGAAAACAAATATCCCTCGTTTTGTTTTAATTACCAGTTACTTTCAACTTACCAGTTTCCCCCTTTGTTGAGCAGATCGGGTTTCCCGGAGAGTGTACACATCGCCACAGACTGAGATTTCCCGCCAAACTCCAGGTTTAGACTCCTCAGTGAACCCTCCTTTTGGATGCATGACCAGCACCCCATTAGTTGTCAAGCCATCCATGTGGCCATCAGGATTTTTCCACTTTGCCGCTTTTTCCTGCATGCGACAACCACCCCAGGAAAGAAAAAGTTTGTCTAAAAGTTTATGGACTAAAGTTTTACATACTGAAGTTTTACTAGCACTGTCTAAAACACAACATTTCCTCACCAGCTAGCAGTGCTTACACATAGATTTATAAAAAAAGCATTTTTAAGAATACCTTGTGCCAGAGCAGTAACATCTTTTGCTTATGCATCTTCAGTTACTAGTCTATCTTAAATATTATTATTTTTAACTCAGTTGAGTGCCTCTGACTGCAGGTCAGGTAAGACTTAAGGCCTCAAAGGTCAGCAGCATACTCCTAACTACCAAAATGGAAAACTACTGCAACGGGCACATTCTTTTCCATAACACGGCTATGCGCTCCTCGGTCTTCAGCGCTCAGAACTGCGACGGCGGCTTATTCACAATGAGTATCAAGAATATATCGAACAAACCTAAAGAAAATCCACTAACAGTTACTAAAGTAGAGCTTCATTGTTAAAGACAATTATCACCACGAGTCCATGCTGGTAATAAATCTGGCACATAAACCCGCAGTTTCTACTTAACACTGCAGCTGGAACACTGGAGTAATAAAAGTCTAACAACGGTATAAGTTATCAACTAGTACAAGGGAATTTTGGGGTTTGGAAATAACAGAGAATAAAAACAGAGTTTGCTCGTACATAACAATTATTAGTAGTACTTACACCAAGAAATATATTTTTAGAAGAGTCAAATCCAGCTGCAAAAATCCTTGCAGTATATGGTGGGCTCCTGTCACAAACAATCCTGCAGGCAAAACGGGATATGGTGCTTTGCGTAATCTGGGTTTCATCATTATTTTGACTTCCAGAAATAGTATCTGTTACTACAAAATCTATGGGACTTTCTGTTGACCTCCCAACCTGCAAAAAAAAAAAAGATAATAGTATAATTAGAGCCATAGAAATATCAAGCATTAAGGACAAAATTTTGCCAAGTTAATGTTGATGACATCAGTAAAATGTCTACTGAATTTTTGGATGGCAAGATCCAACCAGAGACTAATCTGTCTTTTCACGTTTGTCCTAGGCACAAATACAGCTGCGCTGGTTTTGTCTGGGATAGAGTTAATTTTCTTCCTAGTAGCTAGCATGGGGCTACGGTTTGGGTTTGTGCTGGAAACAGTGTTGATAACACAGGGATGGTTTGGTTACTGCTGAGCAGCACTTACACACAGTCAAGGCCTTTTCTGCTCCTCACCCCGCCAGCGAGGAGGCCGGGGGGCACGAGGAGCTGGGAGGGGACCCCAGCTGACCCCAGGGATCTCCCACACCGTATGGCGTCATGCTCAGCATATAGAGCTGGGGGAAGAAGAAGGAAGGGAGGGGACGTTCGGAGTGATGGCGTTTGTCTTCCCAAGTCACCGTTACACATGATGGAGCCCTGCCTTCCTGGGGAAGGCTGAGCACCCACCTGCCGATGGGAAGGAGGGAATGAATTCCTTGCTTTGCTTGTGCACACAGCTTTTGCTTTAACTATTAAACATATTATTAAACTGTCTTTATCTCAACCCATGAGTTTTCTCACTTTTACTCGTCCAATTCTCTCCCCCTTCCCACCGGTGGGGAGTGAGGCGCTCTGTGGGGCTGAGTTGCCAGCTGGGGTTAAACCACCACATCATCACTGACATGACAAGACAAATTTTCATTTACTACAGCTGATGTACACACTTGCCCAACACAGCTGCAACGAATTGTTTGACCGAGTATTGTCAACAGCATGGAAGTACTAGCACCTTGGTATTTCATAATCCAAGCACAGCAAATTACTTACCACTATATTCTATCAATTAGGAAAACATGAGCTTGAAATGACAAGTTTTATTCACATTTCTAGTTCCAAGTTAATTTGCCATGAAAAGAAAGGAATTTTTTTAGACCTAGAGCTTGGTTATTTTGATACATCGTAACAAAAAGCTACCCACCTCCATGTTTTCAGAATTTGTAGTTCCAGAATAGAAGAGTTTTAAGGGAAAACCCACAATGTGATTAAATTTATTCCTAATCATGCATGTGTATTACTAAAGAAATGAAAAAGCTTTCTTCAGCAGAAATAAAACACAGCTGATCAGCAGACAAGAATATTTTTCTATCCTGACATCTATAAATTTTAATTCCAAAACTGGAAACATCTAGGCATCTGGAACAGAAAACTTCATTACAAAATGGACAGAGGGATCTGACTGCCGACCAAACATACAGTGAGGCTTTATCAATACTTCTACAGGCAAATTAGTGTTGCACCAACTTTGAGCATAACTGGGAAAGTGGACCTGAGGAACAGGGAGTGGAACAGAATATTAATTCTGCAGACACCTTCTGATCGAACAGAAGAAAATTAAGAATATTCTTCACACGAAGCTACCTTCAATATCACGAATCTACATTTATATAAAAAATAACCTTCTCACTAAACATGATCTCATTGTCCCCCAAGAAGTTACATTCTGCTTAGCTTCTTGCTCTTCATAGCCAGCTATGGGAAGACACGTATGGTTCCATCATTAACAAACACCTCTGCAAACTACATTAGCTGTAAAGAAACATTATTCAAGAGTCAAGGAAAGTGATATTATTAATACTTAACCCTCATCACAACTGAGCTGATAGCAACAGTACAGGCATCTCTCTTCTGCTTTCAGTTCTACTTGCAGTGTTAAACGCAAATATGTGTCAAAATTCATGTCTTAAGGGACACATCCAGTTACTTTCTCCATATCACAGGTCTCAACCTGAGTATAAAATGTGATGAGCTTACTGCAGAAGTGCCAAGGAAATACTAAAACAGGCCTCATCAAAAGCATGCGCTTCAATTTTTCACCGAAAGTAAAGTGGTGACTACGAGAATACCCAAGATAGAGTTTAAAAACTGCTTAATATGGGACATTTCTGATTTATATAACCTGGCATGTTGAAGCTAAAACTTAAAGCTATATTCTCCTTCTTTTTACAGTATTATTTCTCACAGGCTTCTATTTCTCATCCAATGCAATTCCTGCTAAGACTCAGCACCAACCAGCAGCAGGAAGCTTATTCATAACTTTTCACTATCCTCTGTCTGTATGTGAAGTCTCTTAAAGGATCATCAATAATGAAGTACATTTATTCATAACAATTTTTTTGCCTTTTGCAGTCTGTCAAATAGATCGCTCTCTCAAAGCTTTTAGATGCAATTAAGGGAAAAACCTGCCTTACTTTCCCTTAAAGGATGACAAAACACACATGTGTTTGCTCCCAGTCCTCCTCACTTCATACCAACCAGTCAACATGAAATCCGAGTATGTTTGGATATAAGCATGAAAATCTATATACAAAGCTTTTATGTGGTTTTTAAAATCTCTGAAATTACATGTAATATTTTAAGCCAGAAAGTAATTATTTATGTATCTCATTTGTGTCACAAGTATGTCTATACAACATCATGTATTTTAAGTATTTGGTTTATCTTTTGGATTTTTTTTTTCCTCTTGAAAAAGCCTTCTAGTGGATCAGTCCCGTGTATTGTGCTACATTTCAACACTAACATTATTTTAAGAAGTGCCCTTCAAAACACGGCAATTTCCCCATGCTCCGTATCAATTCAAAATTTTGTGTTTGAGATCATCGGAAAAGAAAGCGTCTCGGGAACAAATGAAGAACGTGATGCTACCAACATTTATCCACCAAAAATTTTAACTTATCTGATGTTGCAGTCAGACTACAGTCACTACAGACCTAGTTCCATTTTTCAAAGCTACTCTTTACAGGCTTTATTATTCATTTTTCTTCCATTTTCCTCTATAGCACAAAAGCCTTTATTCTTTTCAGTAATTTTAGGCTATATTTTGGGACTCTTGTTAACGGTGTCATATTCTATATTATTTCATTAAGTTACTTCCAATAACAAACCATAAATCTTCCAACCGATGCGTAAGACAGCTTCTGTTGTCTACACTACAGGTTATTGTTAAAAGCTGTGTAAAAGCCAGGCAGTCAATCAATTTGCTAGTGTCTACCGTCAATCAAAGAACTGCTATTAAAAATACTCACTCCTGAGACAACACAAAACCAGACAACCTGCCAGCAGGTAATTTAACAGCTGCAGATTCTTGGACTTCAACAGAGTTTCACTCTGATGATAGGGAGAATTGGACCATGCATCTTCTGAAGGCCTGTCCTTCAGAGAAAAAAAAAAAATCAATTCTTCATATTGAATGTACCTGGTTCTTGTATAAACTTGCAGTTATTTAGGGTACTGGCTACAGATTTTGGTTCCTTGTAGTGGTACAAACAGGTATAACCAACCCCTTCTCATCCAATCAAACCATGAAGGAACAGGTTCTACTCCAACTGATGCATCACCAACAGAATGGTTACTAAACTCTGAAGAAAATCTTCCTTTTTAGCAGCATATAGATGCTGCAGCATATAGACTTTGGGAGATGCCAGATGGAACACTTAGGACATTCTTTTTGTTATTGCATGAAGAAATCTGATCTGTACGTCACTAAGACAAAGCTATAGAGTAGCATTCGTACACAAATTTCACTAGAGAATTACATTAAGAAAAAAAAGAAAATGCACACACAACACAGCAGAACAAGTTGGGGGGAGGAAAAAACAAAAAACAAAAAACCCACAAACATATTCCCAAAACCCAGTACAGGGCACAAGAACAGAATCATATGAGGTGTCCAGGACAACCTTCCAAAGCAGCTGAACACCTGCAAGTTTCAAATCCCTGCAGCAGGAGGTTGTGAAACCATTTAGTTAAAGGGATCCAGCAGGAGATGTTTGTCAGGTGCCTGAGCAGGATACAAGCGAGCAGGGAAGACAAGAGCACCCGTTTCTGCATTGTTTCCAGCTTTCAAGAAACAAGAACATGCCTGGTTAGTGCTCTAAGTAATGTTTTCAAACACTCTTTTAAGAGTATGCTTACTTATAAATAACTCTTCATGTTATCTTCAGAAAAGAGCTAGTAGAACAGGGGGTAGGACTGCTCCTGTATGAAACTCCATCATGCAGCCAGTGAACATGCTCATAACCTGCATGGTTAGCAAATGACGCGTGTCTGTGTGGGGGCACAGAGTACATGCATGGTGATTTAAACCACTTAACTGCTGAAGTCTATGCATGAAGATACAGTCATTTTCATTTTATTATGGAAAATGTCAAGAAAATTGGTATTTAGACAGCCTAAACACTGCTCTTCAATGCCTCCTGAATTTCTTTACTGCCCCTTGTATAGTCTCCCCACATTTTCCATATGTACCTCACTTCTGATAAGTGTCTACTCATGCTTCGTTATGAGCTTGGAAAGCATAAAATAAGAAGCTACGCTGGGTTTGCAATCTTCAAAATTTTCCAGTTTGTTTCTGGAAAAAAAAATAAATGCGGAATACAAGTCACCAACACAACACATCTCATGTTTTCCTTCAAAGAGAAGGACTGACAACAGACTCTCGAAGTGGAAGGCGGCAAAAGGTGGCAGCTTTTTTGCAAACCGCGAGTCTCCTGCATTTTCACAGGAAATCAGCTCTAACCCAATGGATTCAACCCTTACAGGTTATAAATGATACCCGACCAAGAAAGCAAAGACCTCTGCCATCCCTTTTCCTTATTTCAGGTCCCACTAAGGTGTTACTAACAACCGCCATTCTAAGCTTCTCACATTCCTTACTATGGTTACCTTAGTGAAGTCATGCAGTCCTACTATCCCATTTTACAGAGAGGAAGATTGAGATTTAAAAAAAAAACCACTAAGTGATTTGCCCAAGATAATACATGTTATCAGCAGCCAAGGAAGGGCCTCAAGATAATCCTGTGGTCCAGGCATTATCCTTCCCTTTTCAGCTTCCACATCCTTGGCAGTGTTCTACAAAAGCCAGGAAAACACATTTGAAAAGAAAACAGCGAAGACCTCCAAGGACTGTCTATTCAAGCAATGCTTGATCAACAGTAAGGTTTTACTCTGTGGATCTATAAAGACAACGCGGAATTTGCCATCGTGTACCACAGGGCAGCACAAAACAGCCCTCAAGTAACTCTCCTCCGACTGCCTACAATCAGATTACTGAGAATAATTAACACCTAATGGCTTATCTAAATAATAGAAGCCTCTTCAGCTGCTGTCTGGCATCACTTGAGCAGCAACATATTGCCACAGTCTACCAGACTATTCCTTTTCCCGTTTTCACGGCTATCAGACCCTCTAGGCCAACGCTTGCAGTGCGATTCTCAGAAGACAGCTACAAAGAGTGGAAACATGAACCAGGACACAGTGCTTGAGGTGAAGCTGAGATCAAGTCACAGCATGACAGTCTACACATCTCAAGACAGAAAAAGACTGCACTGAAACCAGGAATTTTAACAATACGGAAGCCTTAACCCTGACACATTAGCCATTTGAGGGGCCACCAGAAGGACTGAGACACTCTACCAACACAAGATTCCCCTCAAGAAGTTTTATTGTTATTAAGATGGGACAGTTTGACCTGTTACAAGCCAAACCAGTGACGTAACTACAACCGTATGGCAGATAACTGCCTGAACCACAGTCAGCCTCTCACAGGTGAATTAGTACATGGGCCAAAATTACGGCTTTTGTGACATTTCACCAGGCACCCGAGAGCGGCTGGAAGGAGAAAGCAGGATCTGTGCTTGTAAAGTGGCAGTAAGAGATGCGCACTCCAGTGCCAGCCGTGGAAGCGCAGCAGGGCTCTGGGTCGGGCAGCGCAGTCCAAGCTGTCTCAGCACACTGCCCTGGGCAGATTCCTCCTCTACTGAGCACCGACGGATCCTGAAGGGGAGCAGGGGAAGTATGTTGTTAGCTGGGCTATGCTATGCTTAACCAGCCTATTCCTCACTGAGCCAAAAGCCTGCTTTAGGTCCAAAGCATCCTTTATTAGCTCTTAACCTACTGCCTTCGACAAGAGTCACTTGAACTGCGGTCTGTGGAACACTGCTTTGCCTATGCTGTATCACCTCACCTCGGGCCGCTAGATTTCATTAGGGTGACAGCTAAGCACCTCAACCTACCTAATTCCTTATCAATATCCCCCTCCCAAGTAAAAGCTGTAACTACCACTAGGACATTCTGCAATCAGGAAAGGCGCTGTCTATACAATACGACCAGAAAAGCTGCTATTCTGCAACTCTTCTTCAAAAATGCTTTTTCAAAATTTACAAACAGAAAAGTTTCACTGGAGTTACTCAAGGCACAAAAGCATCTTGCAGAGATAAACAAGTATCACACAGTAACCCAAAAGGATGGGTTACATTTTCCTTTTACTAGTTAACATAGAAAAACCTGTTTCAGTTCACTCTGGCTGTGTGATCCTTTTCTAACTACTTATTCATGCAGCACCACATGAACAAGACTTTTTTATCAGTCCCTATTTAGACCTAATTGTTCCAAAGTCACACTAGGAAAATTTTTATATAGAGCAGAAAACAGAAGCCACATGAAGCAAAAACATTTTCATCTTGACAGAGCCATTTCCTCTTCTGTCAACAACACCCAACTCCTGACCCTTCTAAATATGAAGGGCTGAATGAGGAGGGATAACAATTAATGATAAGATGCTCTAATTACAGAGGTCACTGACGAGACAGACCTCATTAGTCTAGATCAGAAAAGGTTGTGCGTGTTTGTTTTCCTCTGAGCTTGAAGTTTAAGTTTGTACGGAATTTCTGCTCTGATTATATATATGAAAATAAGCATTGTGCAAGAAAATAACTTAGGTTACCAGAACATTAGATGATGCAGAAAAACACAAATGTATACATGGGAGAGTAAAAACATGTTGCATAGCAGGTAGCTTAGAGAAACTCAGCACAGTCCCCCTTGTTATATTTGCACACCCTCCAGGAACAGTTCTCTTTATCATTCTATCACCAGTTTGTCTCCTTCAGTGCACAGCTCCCATATCCTCCTCCCTGCCTTTGCTTTTACCTTCCTCCTTCCCCATCCCATGTCCCGCTCCTATCCACCTCCTTTTTACTCCAGCTACTTGATTAACTGGAGGGGGGGGGGGGGGTATATTCTTGTGCTCATTCATGAATCCAAACAGAGCACACATTTCTTTCTAGTACTATTTGTACAGTTGCTACACTGTCCTTGCAGAAAAAGCAGAGTACAGTGAAGGCAGTAAGGATATTAACAGATGCTGGCGCTGGTTTGAGAAGAGCAGACAATGCAAAATTTCAAATGCCCCCATATTAATGCAACTGGGTTCAACCATGAGAACTCCACAGATCACAGAAAATACCCAGAATAACAACACGCAGAACCGTGCTTCCATATGTTGCTTTTGAAAAACAATGCATATATTGCATAGAGTCTTACCTGAAACATGTCTGTATCTTTATCGTGAGTATACTCCACTACAACAGTCTGGTTTCTGGATAACGTGTAAGAGATACTGTGCTGACCTTTACAGCTGATCGCCTGTTGAATAAAAAAATATGTCTATTATACACAGCTTCCACGTAAAGATTATAATCAAATTCATTTCACTATATAAACACCTTTATTATGATCAGGAAAAGCAGTGTATCATAACATTTTATTACGAGGCTGGGTAAACACATACAAGAGGATTTTTTGTTTTGTTTTTAACAGAAAATCCCACTTGTTTGTTTCTAGTTCAGAAGTACCCAATACCTACCATTTTCATAGTTTAAGACTCCAAACACATGGTTTTCTCTCTGAAACGATACTAAGCTCCTAAGCCTCATAGGAACTTGCACCCCAGCAAAGATCTGGGGTTTAGGGTTCTTTGGTTTATTTGTTTTTCTGAAGCAAATAAGCAATACAATTGATTTCCAGTCAAAAGTGCCAGGATTTCAGAGGTAGGGATATCATTACAGTTGAGCAGATTTTTAAGTATAACAAATAGAGTCTAGCAGTTTTATATCAATTGTGATGAAGAGCAAGCACTTTCAACCTGCTTTTCCTCATTAAAGGGTACTTTTCACTACTTGCCAAAAGGAAACTGATTCTTTATAGATAAGGATATAGCATCAAAGACTAAGTAGCATGTCAGTATTTAAAACAAGACTAGAAGAGGACAACTCCTATTATTCTACTGTATCTGACTAGGACTGAATTCTTTACTTGTTAAGATTTTCCAGGTTTACATCTCTAGGTTGTCTTTTTCAAGAACATTTTACTAGCCCAGCAGGTATAGAATCATAGAATCGTTAAGGTTGGAAAAGACCCTTAAGATCATCAAGTCCAACCGTTAACCTATCACTGCCAA